GCACGAGAAGTGCAAAAACGCATAATCGCACCGGCCCGCCTGGTGCGTTCCAGCCTGAGTTTATTTCTTGCTTGGTAAGCTTGATATTAAGTAGAACTCGAAGAGGTCTATGTGGGCTCGTCAGTGAAGAAAAAAAATCGTCTAGCCACTAATTCGGATGGTCTGATAAAATAAATCAAAGTAAAATTTGTGTTGGACCTCCCTTTCTGTTTCGTCGGGAAAATAAAAATTGTCTGTAATGCAAAAAACTTGAAGTACAAGCAGGGCATCACCAGAAATGAATAAAAAACATGTTCATTTCTTAGCCGGATTAATGAAAAGCATGTTCAGTAAGCAGGAAATTTGGAATTTTATAGTGCTTCGCTTGACGGTGGACGAATTTGGTCAAGGGAGTACCACTGCTTGGTTGGTGATTTGCCTCATGTTGGCGGTGCCGCAGCGGTTGCTCTGAATCCAGTTGACGGCACTATGGCTGTCTCTGTTGGTAAAACCGATGGTAAAATAAAAATTTGGCGAAGCAAGAAGTTTTTGCATCGTTATACAGTCCCCAACGATTTTATGTAAAAATTTTACCAAAAGATTGTGTTATTAAATGCTATAATTTAGTACCATATTTGGAAAAGGACGCATGTATTTATGCCTTCAGTCTTTATCATTGTTGTAATTTCACTATGTTCTGACGATTTCTATTGCAAGTGAGATCTTCCTATAAGATGCGTCACAAGTCGCAGTCCTTTGATCGAATAAAAAATTTCATTTCTCCTCACAGCATCTTCTCACAATTTCTTCCGCGTTTTGTCCCCTTAGTGTTTTTTTTTTCCAGTTTTTTTACAACATCCTAGCATTTTTGAGGAGAATTTCAGGATTTCTCATTTGTCGTTGTCAGCCGTCTCGCCTTCACCTTCGAGCTCTGAAATTCAAAACTACTGCGCAGTTTTTTTCTGAAAAGCACTGCATAATTTTTTTGCTGTATCCGGAATTGTACTGTGAACATGCAGCATGTTTTTTTCTTTTCTACGCATGGGTATCTTTCCCAGTTCGTGGTTTAAACGGAGGCAACTTGTCCCTAATGGAGTTGCTTTTTTATGCGTTTTATTCTGCAACAGTTGCACAAAACGCATATTGTAGAGACCATGTCTGCGTATGTGTGTATTCCGAGTGCATTTTATTCGCGAGTTTCAACTCGGAAACCAGGGAAGCTAGGAAACTGAAATTTTAGTAGAATTTTCCTCACCCCACATGCAACCTCGCATGCTTAAATTCAGACTTTACTTGTCCCGGGGCACTTGGAAGGTTTGGCAGGGAGAATTGTTGTCTCGACAACCTCGAAGCCAAAGCGTTAACGTAATGCTAAGCCCTTTTATGTCGCTGGGTATCACCTACAGCCCCTGAAAATTTTGGCGAAAAAATTAATATTTCTTGAACCACGGGAGCTAGGAAGCTGGGATTTTAGAATGTCCCTTGCTTACTTATGGCACTGTAAATTTAAATTCAGCCTTCCCCTTCACTTGGGTGCCACCTGCGGCCTCATGAAGGTTTTGACGGGGTAAGCTACTATTCCGGGAAATGTCCACTGCCCACCTATAACTTTGCAAATTCGATTCAGCTTTTAAGTAGACCTGAGTCCTCCGTATGGCCCCGCGAATGTTTTGGCGGGAAAAGTTATTGTCTTGAGAGTGAGAAGAGCTGGGAACTTCAGACGAATGTTTTCTGCTTATGCAGAGACCCAATAAATCCAACCTTAGCTCCCAAGTATGATGAGTTTTCACTTAAGTCCGCGTGGAAATTTTGGCACGATTTACTTAGAAGCCTGGAAATTAGGAGGTTGGAATTTTCGAACAATGCTCACGGTTTGCGTTTCACGTACTGAAGCGTGAAATTTTTAATGAGGAGTTTCGCAGCTTAGAAACCAAACAGCATGTCGACTCTTCACAGGTCAAAGTGTAAAACAGTGAAAATCCTTAGAAGACAAACATCCGCTGGTCGGACCTGCGTAAAACGCCTGATCGGACCAGCTACCTTGGTAGAAGTCGCTTTTTATTTGAAATTTTGTCGGAGTAAAACGAATGACATGTGGTGCTATCAAAATCGCCCACCGGAATTCGTTCTGTTGACTGATTTTGATAGCATCACGCATTAGGTCCTATAGTGCGAGGAGTACCGAAACATTCGTGTGAGGAAAAAAGATGCAAAAAACTAAAGGGACACAAAACTTAGCGAAAAGATGCTAAAAACTGTTCGAATACGCTAGATTACGCTAAGAAGTAGATATCTGAACCAAAAAAAAAGTAATTTATCATCGAAGCACCCACTTAAGTAAGCGAATGAAATGCAGAAATAGAGGCACCGGTAATTCTAGTGCATCTGAGCAAAAGGCGTTGTTCAGCTTATGAGACATCATTCTTCGGCGGAATACTGCGGTGTGCTTCTTCCTCTTTGAAAACTACTCCACCTGTGCTGAGTACTCTTGTTCTAAAGGCGAATTTCCTTTAGCACAGCTCCGGCAAGATTGCGCCTGAACAAGCAATTTTGAGCAGAGGCCTAATTTAACTCTGCATGCTCGAGAACAAGCGTATTATTTGTCCCACGTGCTTGTAGATACGTGCTCAAAATGTATTTGCTGCATTTAAATATTTTCTAAGTGTTATTTCATACGCATTTGTATAATTTAACAACATTAACATTGTGTGCGGGTCGTGCCTTCAATTATAGTATGCATTCGGGTGGTTTGCATTCAGAGTCTTGCACGTTCAGAGACTACTGTACACTGGCTCCTAACATTTCATTTCTTATGACTAAATTCTGTGCTTCCACCCCCCATTTCTCATTGTTCGCAGTCATTTCCGTGAACAAAATTTGAACGGACGGCAGTGGTGCAGAGACATCTGCCGAATCATGGCACTCGGCATGCTTGAAGAACTTGGTTTTTATGCATTTTTACGCATTTGTGCGAACGGAAATGCGCGTATTTACGAGGGTTTGTCAGCATATGTATGTGTTTGTTTGTGTATGTATCCATGTTTGTGTGTGTGCGTGTGTATGTGCATGTTTGTCCTTACAGTTTGAAACATCGCTTACGTACGTCTGGATTTCTCACACAGACGCCGGGGGAAAATGCGGAATTTTTGGCGGAAAAACGATTCGAGAGCCAGATAAGCTTGAAAACTGAACCTTCACACTGATGTCTCCTGTCCAGACATGAGCCGAAGATTTCAAATTCGGCTATCACGCAGGCTTACGTCACAATGCTATTACGCTAAAGTTCGCAGCTATCACTCTGTTAACTTGAAAAGTAGCTGCAGAACGGTAGCTGGAAATTTGTCAATATTTTTCCTGTCCATCTGGGAAATCATGTATCTGAATTGAGTTTCAGTTTGCACTTTCGCTGCGATTTAGGCGCTTCAAAGATACTTGTAGCGAGGTGGATGTTTCGCGTGCCGGACAATCTGTGGGGCTAAAACTTTGCAACATTCGGTATTCACATTTGGTCTAAATACAGCTTAGAGATTAAATTCGTTACACAAGGGTATGGGGATACTCAATTTTATCGTAACTTCAAAAACGAGTGTATTTGTGGGTTTCGTAATTCTGTCCTGACATTTCCGCATTTTCAGATTTGTATTTTTCGATGGTCTACCGGGTCACCAGAAACTGTCCGGTTTTCGTCATGCAAAATTATTAATCATGCACGCTTGAGGTTCACGCGATTCCACGATGCAGCACTACCATCCTGGCCGATGCCCATTTCTCGCTGCATGAAAGTCCAAAACGCATCTATATGAGTCCCGTGTTAAGGAACCATTCATACTGTTAACGATTTGACTGTTGCAAGCGTGGCATAAATCCAGGCTGGAACGCACCAGGCTTGCTGGTGCGATAACACGTTTTTGCACTAAAGTCGCAGATCCCTAATAGCAGGAATGATCCCTGTGTTGTAGCCTAACAATTGAGCCCGTATTGGCCGCGCTCTGACCTCTTCCTCATGCAGCAGAGAGGGCGCCGGTTGTTATGCGTTTTTGTCGTGCAGGGCTAGAGCGCTGCAACAGGCAGAAAAAACGCATATTGCAACGACCCTGTCAGTTTGTGTGTGTGTATGTGTGTGTGTGTGTGTGTG